TTATTATTATTATTATTATTATTATTATTATTATTATTATACACATAGCAGGATTAGACTTTGAGAAAGGAGGTGTGAAAATTGGAGAAAGGAACAATTTATATGCAGATGACACAATACCGGTTGTTGTTGCTGCTATTATGTGTTCAAGTCATTTCTGATTTACAGCAACCTGAAGGCAAAGCTATCACAACACAGGGTTTGTTTGTTTTTTTACAAGATTTGTTTGGAGTGGGTTTGCCCTTGCCTTCCTCTGAGATTAAGAAAGTGTCACTTGCCCATGGTCACCCAATATGTTTTCATGGCTGGAATGGAAACCCTAGTCTCCAGAATCATAGTCCATTTCTCAAACCAATACACCTTGCTGCTTCTGATACCATACTACTAGCAGAAAATAGCAAAGACTTGAAATGATTATCAAAGAAAGTCAAGAAAGTTCAATGGCAGGTTTACAGATGAACATTAGGAAAATAAAAGTAATGACCACAGATTATTTACATAACATTAAAAATTAAGACATTGAAATAGTTCAAGATTTTCCATATCTTGACTCAGTCATTAATCAGAAATGGAGACTTCAGTCAAGAAATCGGAAGAAGACTAGGACTGGGAAGGGCAGCTATGAAGGAACTAGGTATGTTTCTGAAATGTCAAGATATGGTTGGACCTTCTTATCCATAGGTGTGTGCAGCTGCACTGATGCCACCATTGGCGACCATGGGGCTTGCTGTCTGTGGATGGAAAGCCCACAGATAGTGAGACCCCACTATATATCATTGAATAATAAAAGTTAAGATTGTTCATGCCATCATATTTCTCATTTCTGTGTATGGTTATGAAAGCTGGACAGAGAGGAAAGTGGACAGGAAGAAAATCAACTCCTTTGAGATGTGGTTCTGTGGATACTGCAGACTGCTAAAAGACAAACAAATGGGACCTAGAGCAAACCAAGCCTGAACTCCCCCAAGAAGCCAAAATGACTAAACTGAGACTGTTGAACTGTGGCCATATCATGATAAACATGACTCCTTAGAAAAGACAGGAATGCTTGGCAAAATAGGGGACAACAGGAAAAGAGGAAGATTTCATTCCATGTGGACAAACTTGATGAAAGAAGCCATGACTCTGAGTTTGCAAGACCTGAGCAGAGCTATTGTCAAGAGACTTTGAGGTCTCTCATTGGTAGGGTTGCCATGAGTCAAAGTCAACTCGACAGCAATTAATAATAATAATAATAATAATAATAATAATAATAATAATAATAATATTTATTTATATCCCGCCCCTCTGCAGAGCAATCGGGGCGGCTTACAACATTAAATTTACATAAAGATATGTTAATACAATGTAAACAGATTGTATTAACTGTACAACCCACCCGCCCCTTAAAAGGTAAGTTTTAAAAGATAGTCTAGGCCCGATGGTGCTGGGCCTAGTGTCTCTCTCCCAGATGACATCGGATGGAAATTAACAACAACAAATTAACAACAACAAAATTGTAAACCGGATAGTCATTAGGCAGCAGGTATCTAATAGTAATGGGAGGGCTCCTCTCTGAACCTGAGGGTGAAGGCAAGAGGTCAGGTTTTTATGTGCAGTGAATGTACTTTTTGCACATTGCATTTTGAGGCAATATTTTTCAACCCAAGAAATTTCTCCCAAACACTCCACCACCCTTAAAACTTTATGTCTGTCTTCACCCTGACACAAGACCAGGAATGCAATGTAAACTTAAGCACTTGGTGTGGAGCACTATAATTTTTCAAAAGGAATTTTGGGCCTTTGCAGACTGCTAGAAATAGTGCAAATTGAGTCCACTTTAAGGGTTAGGGTTAGGGAATCATGGGAACTGTAGTTTATTGTGGCACCAGAGCTCTCTGACAGAGAAGGCTCAATGTCTCAGGAAAAAAAACAAAAAACAATTCCCATGATTCCCTAGCACTAACCCTAACACTAAAAGTGGACTCAATTTGCACTATTTCTGGCAGTCTGCAAAGGCCCTTTGTCACTTCACTCATGCGGAAGAGACAGCACCCCTTTTTACTTGTCTTTCCAATTTAGAAGGCTCTAATAATTTGCCTTTTTGTTCGTAACTAAATAGCTTTGTTATTACTAAAGCACTAGGTTTATGTTAGAAGTTATTCCTCTCTTCCTTCTCATGATAACAGACTAGGAAATTAATGACAGTAGGAAAATAGCAAGGAGGGAAGTGGCATGAGCAGTAATAATCTGATACTGTTGCATGTTGTACCAGGAGTTGTGCTTTTGCTTCTTCAATAAATTACTCTTTAGCTACATACATAAAAACAAAAGATAAAAGCAGGTAGACATTTTAAGTAACAAATGTTTCCAGAGGTGGGCAACTGTAGTGGCTCTGGGAACCAAATTTCTGCCTCTGGATCTTTCTAGGGGCCACATGGACTGCCAAGAAATGCTGAACAAAACGAAAACAAACCCCCAAAATCTTAAACAAAGTGGCCTGAAACCCATGCTTGTTTATTTTAAATGGGTATTATTTGATGTTTAAACAGTACTGGGAGGGCCTGCAACCTGTTTTTAAAGCAAATTGTTTCTCCCAAAACCTTCCAAAGGAAGGAAAAGAACATCTCAAGGTGGCGGGAAGGGAGCCAGAAAAAGAACAATTTGGGGAGCGTAGTGGAGTTGAGGGCTTCCAAAAGAGCCTTTGGTCACTGCATACAATGTTTAGTAGTAATCCGTTGGCTTTAGGACCCTTCCATTATGTACCATTAAGTATGTACTGGGGCGGTAAGCCTTTCTTTCTTTCTTTCTTTCTTTCTTTCTTTCTTTCTTTCTTTCTTTCTTTCTTTCTTTCTTTTTCTTTTTTTCTTTTTCATCCCACCTTTCTCCCAAAATGGATTCAAGGTGGCTTACAATAGTTTTGAAATGATACAACTAAAACATTCATTACAATTTTTTAAAAAAAAAAGATTTAAAAATTCTAGTATTAAAACACGCAGCATATTTAAAACCATTTCAATAAAAAATTAAAAACATACAAGTATTTTTAAAAGCACACCAATCACACACACACACATTACATAGTGGGGCAGGGTGAGGTTTTGGTTTATGGAAATGACTGAGGCGGGACAAAATGTTTTACTAATTACCATGTTGACATATTACTTATATTAAGAAACATAACAATTATCTGGCAATGCTTCAGGCGAAATTATTCTATCATACTGTAGTTTGTGTGTGCATGTTCCTTCAAGTCACCTGTCAACTTATAGTGACCATGAATTTCATAGTTTTCTTAGGCAAGGAATGCTCAGAGGTGGTTTTGCCAGTTCCTTCCTCTGCAAAATAACCTACAGCACCTGGTATTCCCTGCAGGTCTCCCATCCATGTATTAACCAGGGCTGACCCTGCTTAGCTTCCAAGATCAGATGGAATCTGGTGCCTTTAGGGTATTAATTCATCCATATTTATAATTAAACTTAGCAGTTAAAAGTTTGTTGTTGCTACTGTGTTCCTTCAAGTCATTTCTGACATATGATAACCCTAAGGTGAACCTATCACAGGGATTTCTTGGCAAAATTTGTTCAGAAGGGGCCTCCCCTTGTCTTCCTCTGAAGCTGAGAGAGTGTGTCTTGCCCAGGGTCACCTACTGGGTTTCCATGACTAAGCAGGGATTTGAACCCTGATCTCCAGAGCCATAGTCAAATGCTCAAACTACTGCACCATGATGGCTCATTTTATGTGAAGGTTACTGAACACTACTCATGTTGTCCTTTTACTTCCAGAGCTTGGAAACAGAAACATTACTGATGGGGCAGAACAGCGTTTCTTTAGCTACATAGTGTCCCCACTGGTAATGTTGTTCCATTTTACTTCCATTTAATGAGTAACTGTTACTCATTATTGCAATCTTGCTGTGGTGGATAATTGACCATTTGTATTTCGAAGGGTTTTTTTTAAAAGAGAAAAGATTTAAAAATAAGATTTTATACTTCAAAAATATTAACAGTATATATATATATTATATATATATATATATATATATATATATATATATATATATGATAAGCATCTAATGTTTTTTAAAAACAGTTCCCAGCTCTGTTCACTTCAAATGGTCCTATAGGTTCTTAATTTTGCAGGTAATATGCCACCATCCTAAAGTTACAGTCTGTCTTGTACATTTCAATTGTGCTGCTCCAGTTTTGCACATAGCTATTCATATGCCATTACACACTAAAAGCAAATGCCATTACCAAGTTACAAATCAAGTCTGGTGGACATAGTCTGTAACCTCTGTCAATTGGCCATGTGCTTCCCTATGACCAAAATACAGTGGTTTGCATAATTAGTTTATTTATCCAAAATGTCTCATTTTATTAGAAGTGGAGAAAGCATTGTAAATCATGAATTTCAGTGATATGTTGGAGTCTGACTAGTTCACATAACTAGTTAACTTGTTTCAGCAGCATACCATAAGAACTATTAAATCATGTCAACTATTGACTCTTTTCTTGTACTTTCAGTTGGCAGGAAGATAGAGACAAACTTGCATGAAATCACCCCTCCCATATTATACAACACTCACAAAGCAGTTCACGTTATATGAATTACTTTTCTCCGGTTGGCTTCTGTTTCATGATTCATTTGAAGGAACTCTAGGTCCTTCACATTTTTATATTTAGTGTTTGAGTCGATTTAGGCTGAGATGGTTAAACCATCTAATAATCACACAACATTCTTTTGTGGGGCTCATGCCAGTGTTGTGCTTTGAGTAAGGGGCTGACTTACTCAAGCTAAAAATGTACAAGGCTTTCCATCTAGTTTTGTAAATCTTTCTATATATAAATTCCACCCATGTTACAGACAAATTATTTTCTATCTTAAAACTGGCTATACTTTAAATTCCACTCTAATCAGTGTTTCCTTTATGTTGCCATTTTTTCTAGCATAAGTGTTTGATTTTAAAGCAAAAGGGGAACTGTATAGTTCAGATGGATGCTGGGCATCTTGCAGACTACAATTAACTAGAAGTGAAATAAATCAATGAAAGAAGGTTTATATGTTCTTTCACCATCTTAGTTGCATATCTAAAGTAATACTGGATTTATACAACTGCTAGAGGGTTTAAATTATCTGGAAAGGCTTACAGTATGAGCTGCACATATGGTATATTGGAGTAAAGTTTATGATAATGCCATTTGTACCATGCACTTCTCATGTCAACCAAATGAGAGATGTTAACATTCTTTACACCTGGCAACACAGGATTTTGGACATGGGACAACTGTGGGGAGATGCAGACTGCTAGAAATAGTGCAAATTGAGTCCACTTTTAGGGTTAGTGTTAGTGCTAGGGAATCATGGGAACTGTATTTTATTGTGGCACCAGAGCTCTCTGACAGAGAAGGCTCAATGTCTCAGAAAAAAAAACAAACAATTCCCATGATTTCCTAGCACTAACCCTAACCCTTAAAGTGGACTCAATTTGCACTATTTCTGGCAGTCTGAAAAGGCCCTGTGTCTGGATGTGTCTTAAAGTCACCTGTTGACTAATGGTGAGCTCATGAATTTAATTGTTTTTTTTTTAAGGTAAGGAATACTCAGAAGTGATTTTGCCATTTCCTTCCTTTGCAATATTGCCTACAGCACTTGGTATTTGTTGGTGGTCTCTCATCCAAGTACTAACCAGAGCTGACCCTGCTTAGCTTTTAAGATCAGATTGGAGCTGGTGCTTTTAGGGTATTTAGGCCCTCATGGAACAAATAGTTCTGTTTAATTTATGTAAAAATCCAGAAGATACACATCAGTTAAAAAAAATCACAGCCCATCATGAATAAATTAGTAAAATGAAATAGTAAAATAAAGTAACTCAAGACTGAAGTCAACAAAGCAATGTAATTAGCACAGATTAAAATGAAGAGTTAACAGGCTCAGAGATATAAGAACCTCTGCTGCTGCTGAAAAGATGACCAAGTAGAAGCTTCCCAGTATATGAATGCTATCCGTAGTACTTCTTCCCAGCCTTCATCCCATCCAGTCCATTAGCAATAGCAATATCATTTACATTTCTATACCATGTATCAGGGAACTCAGCACTCTCTACGCAGTTTACAATCTGTAAGCCAATTGCCTTCAACAAGCTGGGTACTCATTTTACTGACCTACGAAACGATGGAAGACTGAGTCAACCTTGGAGCCCTGGGATCGAACTCACAACCTTGTGGCTGTAGTATTGACATTTAACCACTGCACCACCAGAACTCCTTCATTTCCTCCGTTATTGATTTTAGACAAGTATTTGGTACTTCCAGTGGTTCAACTGAATGATAGCTCATGGCAAATCCATACATAACAAATGGTTTTTGGCCTGCCCAATATTGTTGGATCACCTCTCTCATCCTACGTTTTCACACGGGGCTTTAGGAGGACGCAATCCTACCTCCGTCCGGCCCCACTCCGGCTCCTTTGGCAATTTTTTCACACGACATCGCAGCAAGCCCCGCCCCATCCAGCGCCATCCTCGGCGCTATCCTGCGTCAGTCCGGGGCTTGCTAAGCATGTTCACACGATGTCGCAGCAAGCCCCGCCCTCGCCCCGCCCCATCCAGCGCCATCCCCGGCGCTGGCCAGCATCATCCCCGGTGTTTGTAATTCCTTTTCTTAAAAGGAATTAGAGTTGCTGCTGCCGGAAGCAATCAGGAGCCATTCCGGCGGCTGCTGTTTTCACCGCCGGAATGGCTCTTCATTACTTCCAGGCAGCTTTAGACCCATGCATTTGAAAATGCCCATCATCTGTGATCATTAGCTATACTGTATGGGGTAACAGGAGCTGGAATTCAACAACAGCTATAGAATGACTGTTCTCCATTGATGTATGTGTGGACAGTATGGCTGGAATCCTGCAGGGTGACCAGATGTCATAACCACAGAGGAGAGGGCAAGGCACCTCAAAATGAAGGACATTCAAGAAAAAATGTAGGGCATTCTAAAATAAAAGCTAAAAACCCTAATATAAATATAAATTCATTTCATATGGCTTATTTACAGCTATATTACAGTACTTATACAGTACTGTGTTTTATTATGTACCCAACTGTATTTTTCTGATGAACTTATCTTCAGCAAAATGCCTTGTTGGCTTGCAGTATACTTACAGAACTCTGAGCAAGACAAATGCTTAAACTTATAAGAGCAACAAACCCCTTACTGAGTTGGCATTTAAATTATTCCTTTCATGTGTCCATTGTGTTGAAATGAAGGAAAAACTCCTTTCAACATTTACATTGTACTTCTTAGTCATGCTCAAAATGGAGACCATTTTGGTATTCTTCCTGGACAGAAGGTTGAAATATAAGGTATATCCTGGAAAGGGAGATGTCTGGTGGTCACCCTGGAATCCTATACAGGATGAAGAAGTACTACGAGATGAGTGTCGCAAGACCAACCAGGACTTGTTTTCCAACTCCATTTTTTACAACTGCACCTTCCTGATGGGCTGATGAAATGTCCAGATAACCTATGAAGAAAAGGTACTATGATCAGTGGTAGTGAACGCTTAAGGAAAATTAAGAGAGTGACATTCTTCTTATCCTTCCCATGTCACAAGTCCTCAGCCAGGGCTACTGAAGCTCATTTTATGCTGAAATCCCATAGAAATCAATCTGGAAAATCACTTGCATTTAGACCACATAGTAAGAATACCTGGGACTGTAGAGGAACCACCTGCATTCTTGAATACCTTGCCTAGAAGGAAATACTAGGACTGGCTAACTGTTGTTAGCTTTGTAAAGCTTTCCCTCCAGCAAAGTGTCTTGACTGCTCAGTTACTTAGTTCTTCATAGTTAGCTCTGAGATTTCTCAGCAATGAAGTGTGTCCTAGTTGCCTGAGGGAGCCTAGCTTTTCTCCAGTTTCTTTCCATTGGTGATAAGGCTTCCTATAAGAAATAGGAGATTACGTAGTCTGCCTTAAGAGAAATATGACCACCTTATTTCGGTCCCTTTCATGGTGCTCTTGCTTTGAATCCAGTTTGGCCATAAGCTCATCCAGAAATTGATGGTGGGTCTCAAGTATTCTTGCATTAGCAGTGTATTATATCAACATTGCATGGCAGTGTATTATATCAACATTGACCAACAATGCATTAGTCATCGTTCAAAAGTGGGTTATAGCCTTTTTACAGGAAATAGAGAAATTAATATACAAAATCTCAGCACATTATAGGGGTTTTTGAATCCACAAGACTAATTTTGGGACAAGTCTTAAGGGTTGATATGGAAATGTTAGTATGATATTGAAAAAATCTTGTTGTATTCATCTCACAGTGATTTTTTTTCAGCAGCCAAATGAGACTGTGGGAACATGAGCTGTTAGTTACATTTGCATCTTGTTGTCTGTGGCTGCATTTACACTACAGAAATAGTGCAGTTTCACACTGCTTTAGCTGCCATGTTCTCACCCTATGGATCTCTTGGATTTGTAGTTTTTTGAGGCACTAGAGCTTTCTGACAGAGAAGGCTAAATATCTCGCAAAACTAGAAATTTCACAATACCATTGCATTAAGCACCCTTTATTTCAAATTTCTGGAGGAAGCATACATACCTTCCCATCCTCACAACAGCCCTGAGAGGTAGATAAGTTCATCCAGTAAGCTTCATATTCAAGTCAGGGTAGAATACCATTTCAGATTATGGATAGGGGATGCTGTTACAAATTTCCCCCTATACTGTAG